ATAAATCAATTGGCCTGGTGTATTTATCACTTTCTAAATCCATAAAGAAGGAATAATTACATTGTGACTTGTTAAAGGTTATAATTAATTCAATTTAATTTACGTAAAGTTAATTACCTCATCAAAAAAGGTCTTCCAATCAATGATTCAAATAACTAAACTTTTTTTTTTCATAAATTCTTCCCTTGTCCACCTGACAGCACCAGTATAAATGGAAATGAATCCACCTTCTGTTAACTTTTTTATACTTTCATATTGCCCGTAAGACATTCATTCTAAAATATATCTTGGAAGAGATGAAGACTTTTGACATTCCTGAATAAAACTATCAATTATCTCATTTCCAGATGTCCAAGTATTGAAAAGATTTTCTAAGTGTAGACTAAATACAAATTTATCAGAGTATCTTGTTGCTTTACACTCATTACATTCTCTTGGTTCTCTAATTCAAAATCATTAATCTACAAAACTTTTATTTTTTTTTTTGGCAATTTGCAAAAAATAAATTCTCTGTCAAAATTACTTGAAAAGTTATTAATTTTAAATGCTAATTCTTCTCTGTCTGGTGAAAACAATATTTATGGCATTACAATATTCTTATCCTTTATTATAATTATAATTAATTAATTATCTATTTATTTTCTCTGTCAGATATAGTAGAAAACTTTGTTTATTCTTTTGTTTATGCTATATAATACAAAACGCATAAATAAATGGGAAATTGTTGTTTGAGAATTATTATTATTGACTCAATACGATTATATTTTTTGTAATTTTTTTACCATCACTATTACTATAAATAAAGTATGTTGTGACTCCGACAAACTTTTTGAGACATGGAAAAGAGCATTTCGAATGGTATACCTGGAACTGACCTGAATCTTCTCACGTTGTTATATGCTATTGAAATCTAGACTTTTTTTCGTCATCTTTGGAAAAAATGTGCAACATTGAGCACATTAACATCCATTTTAAAGATTTTATGTTCAGCCGAATTATTGCTGATAATTACTAATTGTTAAATTTAATATAAATATCAAAACAGACAAAAGGCTTTTTTTTTACGGATCTTTTGTTGTCGTCGAAAGTTTCGCTTAGTTATAATAATTCGTGCATGATTACAGTCAAAGCTCGTTAAATTCATATGCGATAAATTCATAATTCCTTAAATTCACAATTTTTCAGGAACCAGTGCCACTTATTTTATTCGATAATTTCATATTTATAGTAATAACAAAATCTCGATAGTTGGAATAATTCGATAAATTTATAATTCTCTGATTTTTTATATACGTCACCATATATCTCTTTAGATTCATATATACAGTAAGTAGCCAATCTCATGTATTTTTTTCTGAAAATCTTATCCTTTTAATAAAATTTGCTGTACCGAGCTTTTGACTGTAATTATTTTAGTTGACAATCCATGTATTAGTATATGAAAGTGATCAACGAAAAATTTTTTTGTATGATTTCTCTATCACAAAAAAATTATGTCTTGATTCATTTTTATTTTATTTTACGAGATAAAAACACATCTCAAAGAATATATACATGCCTTTTTTTGACATTTTATAAGAAAATAAAAAACCTCTTTGAGGGCACGTTATTATGAATCCCCGCAAATTATTATAAAATGATCAACATCTCCAATCATAGACAGATCGTCAATTAAGAATTGAAAAAAAAATTTTATTTAGAAACGCTTATATATAATATATAGATCTCAACATGTCATCAACAAATCCTACAGTTACCTTGTAAGTAATAATAATAGGGCTCTCTATTCACCTTATAATTCTTCACAATATAAAAATCAATAAAAAAAGGTTAACTTGTAAAAAAAATTTATATCCAAAGATATCCTCTAGGTAGGTTTACAAAAAAAAAAAAAAAAAAAAATCTAATGTGAAAGCCTTACAAATATATATGCTGTGCGTGTGAATTGGGAGTAATTAATTAGCATATGTGTATTTTTTGTTAATGTATATAGTTAATTATACTTTTGGTACAAAAGAAGCACAACCCGAAGAAGATCCTTCTGTAGCAGCTCGTTTACAACGTCTACAAAATGACTATGAGGCCACTGGTATGCGAAGAACGGTAGAGGGAGTTTTGGTGGTTCATGAACATAATCACCCTCATGTATTAATGTTACAAATAGCAAATTCTTTTTTTAAACTGTAGGTCTCTCTATTGCTAAATGCGCGTTTGCATTTTATGAATTCGTAAGAGAGTGTGTGAGGATAATAATAAAATCATTATTATCATTTTTATTTCCAAATTAGCCCTGGTGATTATTTGAAACCTGGAGAGGATGAGATTGAAGGATTAAAAGCTAGATTGAACGAACGTTTGGAACCAGTGAATCCATCCACCGTTGAAGATTGGCAAATTGGAGAATGTTTAAGTGTATGGTGGCGACCGAATTTTGAGACCTTTATGGTAATATTTGAAAAAAGAGAGAAGAAAGAGAAAGAAAATTATTATATTTTAACATTAAATTTTCTTTCACAATAGTATCCGTATACACCTGCACATGTAACAAAGCCAAAAGAACAAAAAAAGATTTTTTTTGTTAATCTACCAGAAAAAAGTATATTTATATTTATATTCTTGAATACTTTGATTGATCGATTAATTCATTGATTGTTAATTAACAATTCCTTTTTCTCACACTCTTCTCCTTTTCAAAAAAAAAGAGATTTTGTCTGTACCTAGAAACATGAAGTTACTTGCAGTTCCTTTATTTGAATTGTATGATAATGCACAACGTTATGGACCACAACTATCTGCAATTCCACACTTATTGAGTAGATTTAATTTTATATATGAGAAATAATTGTGAAATATCTTGTTAATTCATAATTGCTATATATTCAAAATGTATTTGTTGTATTACACTGATCATTATTACTAAGTTATTTTCAAGAACAATAAAACATTTTCAAGACAATAAGACGAATTTGATGCAGTATTTTTATATCCAATTCATCAAAACACTAGGTTGAAGGCTTTCCATAAAATGCACCTATAGTTTGATGCAACATAAACTGTGCTGGAATTGAACCTGGTCCAATTCATGTCTGGACATTGATTTCACAAAAAAATTTTTAAAGTTTAATTTTTTTAAATTGCTGCCCATAAAACATTCTTTCATTGAATATATTTGTAATATTAAATGAAAAGGCCAATAAATCTAATCATTATGCACTTTGTCATTTTTGTAAAACTATTTCAGGGATCAAATGGAATCCATGTGGAATAATTGGAGTGATAAATCCAAAAGTATAAATTAAATAAAAGTCTGCTCATGCTTGTTTTTTAAAACCTCTTCATTCATGTTGAATGATGTCAAAGATCTATCTACTAATTTTAAAAAATTTAATTATAATTATAATTTAATTTTTTCTTTTCTTTGATGATGAAGAATAATTTATTGATGATAAATATAGAATTTGTTGTATCTAATTGTATATTACATTTTAAACATGATTAGAGTTTTTATTTTGAATAAAAATTACATTATGAATAGTAAATGTTTTCATTTTTTTTTAATCATGTATTTTTCATCTGTGATATTTTTAGATGATTTATTTGTCTTAGTTTATTATCGAAATATCCTTTATATCTTCATCTGGAATGCTAACATGATCATGGAATCTTCATATTAATTAAATTGGTTTTTTGATCTTGTTTTTACTCTTGTTCCTTCATTTTCACTCTTTCCTCTTTTCTCCTCATTATCTTTAATCTGCAATGTGATTATGGTTGCTTGCCAAAACTCCTACAAAGAAATCAATTGACAAAGTTTTAATTGTTTATTAGTAATAAAAATCTATGGTTTTTACTTGAAGATCTACTTTGTTGATACTTTATTAATATAAAAAAATTACACAAATTCTGATATATGAGGCAAATGATAAACACATTAATTTATTGAAAAATTCGATAAATATGAAAGTTACATGCATCAAAACTATTAGCTATTACTATTTAATTTTGAAAAAATGATGTTCATTCAGTAATTGTAATTCATCATTTATTCATTGATGCACCATGCATTCATTAATTAATACTTCAATTTTGACCCGGATATTAGAAATATTTAAGTTTACCTTTTGAATTTTTTTAAAGAATGCTTCTTGGAGCAGTACGCAATATGGTAATTCAAGATAATTCAATTCTGAATTTTTGGCATTGCCATTTTCTACTGTGTTCCCTTTTCTTAATTAGTAAAAACAATGTCATCATTGTCATTATCACCGTCAACATCAATTACCAACAGCGAAACGAGCAACTCGAGCACCAGTGCGAAAAAAAGAGTTAGTAGTAATTTTTTTTTTTTGTTGAAATGCACACACACAATAAATGATTTTCACATGTAGGTACACCCAAAAGTATATATGGACAAAGTTTTTCAAACTTTTAGATAATAAAAAACATCATCTTGTAGCTTAGGCTCTTATGAATGAATATATATACGCAAAATTTGATTTTTGTGCCATTTTTATTAAATTAATGATTAAATTGACTATGATAATTGTTTTAAAAAAGTTTCAAAACGACATAGATGTTTATTCAAGACTTATATTATCCCATATGTCAAAGTTTCGGATGTTATTAGTATCTATGTATGTATGTTTTTCATTTAATTAAAAAAATTGATTGACATTTTTTTAATTTTGTTTAATAAAAATGATGATAGAGAAGTTAAATTTTGCATCAATGTATTCACAGTTACAAACAGATATAAAGTTTTCATCTATTATACAAGATTTTGTATGAGATCATTAAAAAAATTTGCCCAGGGTGTAACGAGCGTAATGTGGTATATAAACAATATTTAGTTTGTTTTGTAATCAATATACAGTTCAACTGTTTAACAATGGCTTAGTCCGATAAAAAATAACGGTATAAAAGTTGGAGACTTTTTTAATAGAGTCACAAAAACCTAATTTATTATTTTGAACAAAAACTACACAAAAAAAGCTGCAAGAATGTCGAAACAAGAGCAACAAGATGTCATACTCAATAGTGATACCAATAATGGTAATGTTACTAATGACACCACCACTACCGACACTAATCATGCTGACAAAAATTTTTACAACCGAGTAATAAATTCCCATTATTTTACACCCAAATTTCTGATTAGTATAGCGTTAGGACAATTTTTGTCATTTTGTATTACGACGACCCTGGTTACCAGTAATGAATTATTTGTGAAATATAATATCAGCGTTCCCACATTTCAAACGTTTCTTACCTATGTAGCATTAAATTTGATTTATACGCCACTAACCATCTACAAAAAGGGATTTAGGTATTGGTTGAATATTTTTAACCTGAAGGATTATCGATTTTTAAAATGTAAGTAAATGGATTAAAGATGATGGGTGTAGATGAATGTAGTAACAACAACAGCATTGTTATTGTTATTGTTATTTTACTACAATTAATTATAACTAGATGATACGTATATATATATATATTTATTATATAGATTTTGTGCTTGCACTGTTTGAAGTTGAAGGCAATTATTTTGTGGTAAAGGCATATGCTTTCACCTCAGTTCTTTCCGTAATGTTGCTTGGTACGTGGGCAATCCCAGTTTGTATGTTATCATCAATCGTATTCCTAAAGGTTGGATATCATTGGAGTCAATACTTTGGAGTGTTGATATGTCTTGTTGGTATTGGAGTATTGCTTGCAGGAGATCTTAACTCGGGACAAGATTTTAGTGGTGGTAAGTTATATATAGATTAAAAAAAAACTGCAAATTTTTTGGTTTATAATTTGTAAACTTTTTTCCTTTATAAACAAAAAAAATTTTTTATCTATTTAACAGCAGTGAATATGGGACTTGGTGATGCATTTTGTATCATAGGTGCAACACTTTATGGTGCGAGTAATGTAATAGAAGAATTACTTGTGAGACAAAGATCGGTGTATGAGGTGGTCGGACAATTAGGATTTTGGGGAATGATTATCAGTGGTATTCAATTGTAAGTTGCAAATTTTTATTTGAATTAATATATATATTTATTGAAATAACATTAAAAACTCAAGTGGTTTTTTTTAGTTTAATTTTAGAGCGCCAAGAACTTTCCGCTGTAGAATGGAATGGAAGTAGTGGTAAGTAATCAAATAAACAATCAATCAATTTAAATAAATTCAAAAAAATAAAATAAAATTTTTTCTCAAATCACACCACATCACACCACCTCATTTCATATGTTTTAGTTGGAATGCTACTTGCATATACTATTTCAATGGTGTTTTTTTATACTGGAGCACCAATACTTTTCAAATTATCATCAGCTACATTCTTTAATCTTTCTTTACAAACAATTCATTTCTATTCATTAATATTTAGTTTATTATTATTCGGTGCCCAGGTAAATAAATAATAATAATAATAACTAGAATTTGGTTTTGATAGTTCCTTCCACTAATTGATTATTATAATTTGCAGATGCATCGTCTTTATCCTGTGTCATTTGTTAGCACCATCATAGGACTGTGTTTATTCCATTACAATCCAGAATCAAGGCCTAGTTACGGTCATCCTGCTTCTCTTTCTATTGGTAGGGATCGCAGTGATGTCAAAGGTAACGATGATAATGAGGGCCGGAATTCTGATGAAATAAAAGTCGAGGAAAATGAAGTTACTACTGATTTAAATGTATAAATTAATTGATTGATTTTAATTGGTTGAGGAGAATATTACAGTACACTCGCTCTATAACGAACTTTTAGGCTGGTCTAAAAAAGTTCGTTATAGAGAGAGTTCTTTATAGGAAATTTGTAGGTCATCACGTGGATAAACTTTATTTAAAAAAACTTAAATAAATAAGAACCCTCCATAAGTGCACTCCAATTGGGAATGGATGAGAGCGTGCATTTATGGATGGATGCATCTATAAAGGGGAAGAATTTGATTGGTTGCACGTGATACTAACAGAAATTATTGTTGTATATATATACGATTTTTAAATATTTTTTTATTTGTAACTAATTACCATATTTGGCTATGCTATACCCTGGTTTTCCCAAAAGAAAGTTTATTATTATATATATTAATAGTAACTGGTAATTAAATTCCATGTATATACAGTTAGCACTCGCACTTGGGGACATGTCCTTTACATTAGTTATTATTAATGAACATTTGGAAATAAAATTTGAAATTTAATATATAGAAATATACAAGTATATATAAAAATTGGTCAAAAATGTGAAAAAGTGAAAACTTTACCTATTGAACTTCAATTTTTTTTTGTATCAGAATATTCATCTATAGAAACTGAAAAACTGAACAGAATTTTAATTAAAGCAACAATTGAAAAGTTTTTATATGGGGCATGCTGCAACAAAACCAGACAAAATGAACATTGCTATTACCAAAAATTAGAGTGATCACTATTACTGCAATTGTAATGTGATTAGTATTGTAATGTCTTCATATATAATATGCATGTTTTTATTGAATAGAAATATACAAAATGTGTGATATTCTGAAAGGTATATTTTTATCTGCTTCTATAAAATTTATTAAAAAATTATAGATTTATTACATTAACTATATTCTAATTTATAATCCAATATTAATTGCAATATACACCTATATATCAACAATAAAAATTACATGCTGTGATATAGAAATATTAAAAATTTTATAAGATTATTATTTAATCCTATTTATCTTCCTTAAGACCAAGCATATTTTCTTTACCCAATTTTTGTCTTTTATTTCTTATATTCATCAATGTTAAATTTTTAATTATTTTTTCTACAATTTGAATTAGTTATTGTTAGCTATTATGTATTCATAAATTGACATAAATATGCAATAAATGTAACTCATACTTCAAGTTCTTTAAAGATACAATATATATCTTCTAGTAGTGATGTTAGCCGGCTAAGAAATTTATCGGCTTAGCCGGCTTGAACCAATCAAATTCTATTCTCAAAAATAATAAAAAATATTCATTCATTCGTAATGCCGCCAAAAAAGAAAAAGAAAACT